GGTGATGTCTTTTTCCACTGAGAAATTCCTGTGAAATCTCATTGTTACTGTGTGGCTCCTCAGTGTTAAGAGTGGCCTGGTGCTGGAGAAGCCCTGAGATGGCTGGGGAGTCTTCACCAACCTCCATATTGGCTTCAGGCACCCCAGATAAGTAGAAGCAGCAACTTGTCATGAGCGAGGCACTCTCCATATCTTCTTTCCAGGGCTTCTTTCCACTGGCATCCTTCTGTTGCTGGTGAGTGTTTGCACTGAAACACAAGTCTCTCACACATGCATCACTTAAGAACACATTCTTCTCAAAGTAAACCACTTGTAACTCACTCAGGTGCAAAATATCTTTTAATACTGAGAAGCACGGCTTACACAGATGGGTTTTCTGGGTGGCTGCAGCTGTCTTGGAAGCCCTGACCTGAGACTCTCCTACAGATACACTGTGTTCAGAATAGGCCTCCACATCATCCCTTTTATGCCAAGGACCTGAAAACAGAGAAATGATAAGGAAATAAATATTGTCTGTGGTAACAGGGGGAAGTCCCATTATAAAACTGTAGTGCACATACTACATTGGTTTCATACAATTGGCTGAAAATAAAAGACCTGTAGGATGGCTTAATAAGAGGCCCCTGTGAAGTTCTTGACCACTGAAGATCACAAAACAGGGGTGATTTGAACAGAAATACAGCAAAAACATGGCGAGCACCACATGGAAGAGAAGCGGACTGTCCAGCTCATCCTGATGCTAACAGCACTCAGTAGATCTCCTCTGGTGGTGACATGGGCAAGCTGTGCAGAAGGTTGGTTACATCACATTCTAAGTAAAATTCAATAAACAAGTAGCTGGTGTTTGAGGGGTGTTTAAGCATGCATGTGCTCCTCATTACACTTGCATAAGTCCAAGTTGTAGTATACTGCAGAAAGAAATGTGCAGAGGAATAGATGATATAAGAAGGACACAAAGGAGAAGACAGCCAAAGCTAAGAAGTCACTGATGAAATGACAAGTCAGCAAAGTGTCAAGTGTGGAAAAGGAAAGGTATAAATGAGGTACGGCCATTGGAACCTGCACCTAAGACCATTAAACAGGAGCAGGTTCCTGGTACAATCTGAACACCATCCTTATGTCATACCTCCCCACAGTTGCCACTCAGCCAGGCCACGCATCCTCTAGGACAATCCTGTACATTCACCCTGGAGAAAACCAGGGTTCTCTCTGCACCTTCTTTTCTGGAAATATGTACAAACTAAATATTCTGAGTACCAATGAAAGACAACAGAGGTGAGTAGCCATCATTTGCCCATAGCATTCGGCTCATAATAGTATTCAGAGAAGGTAATATTTCAAACAATTATTGAAGGAAGACCTTCCAAGAAGAGCCCCTTGTGCATGTATGTAAAGAAGATACCTGGCCCAGGCATTCATCAAGGTCCTTATCTACAGGAAAGGTGCAGAAGTGGAAGCCATGGATGTGGATACAGTCACCCTCCCGGGAGTGGAATAGCAGGAGGGACCCATTAAGCTGTGTGTAAGACTGCTGACACCCAGACACTTCCTGCAGTTTCTGAGGCAACCCGTTTAGGGAGGTTTATGGAATCTATTGCTCAGGGCTCTCCACAGAGCTCAGCACTGGAAGCCACAGCCCATAAGACAAAACAGTGGGGGAAATGAGCAGAGCCCGTGGTCTGGCTTTGAGAGAAAGAGAGAGAGTGCTAAGTGTGGAGAATAAATAAAGAGTGGGTGCCACTTCAGGACACTAGGGGAGATGGGAAGGTCTTACCTACAATTGACAGAAGTGCAAACACTTCCAGCATCACATCACAGTACAGACGTCGCTGATCCTCATCAAGGAGCCCCCACTCCTCCTGAGAGAAGGCAATGGCCACGTCCTCAAAGTTCATATCCTGCCATAATGGAGACGGTACATCCCATGATAAGATTCTCTCTTGAGATTCCAAGATTGCCATACCCCCACCCTGCACATCCATATGCTATCCTACTCTCCACATCAGAGAACACAGCAGGCCTTGGTCCCATTAAAGTTAATCTCTTCTTATATACTCACTGATGCTGTGTCTTCCCACAATAAAGGCAGATGAACAGATATAAGACCTGCGCTCTGATCCTCAAATAGGAGTCACACTGTCCCTTTCAATAACAGGGGGTGTCAGGCACACAGGGTAGGAAGAGTAGGAAGAGATGTTGTACATAATGGGAATGTGATGGATTTGACACTGGAGTTGTCAGGCAATATTCATGTTGTCCTCCTATTGTCCCTCCAAGACACCAACCAACATGGTAATGCCCATAGAGAGAGAGAGAGAGAGAGAGAGAGAGAGAGAGAAATTTGTTCCATTAATTTTATACATTCTTTGATTAATTTTTGTAATTGATATATATATAGTAGATCCTCGGGTTACGTTGGAGATCTGTTCCTATGGTGCAACACAACACAATTTTTGCCGTAAGTCAGAACCCAGCCACGTAAGCACCTATGTCACTCACATGGTGCACATACACAGCAGTAATGAAGTGAAATATTAAAAAAAATTAAAAGAAAGATAACAATTCCTGACCTTTACTTGTGGTAAGTAAATAATAAAAAACATAAAGCACATATGTACATACAAGGGTAAATACGGTATTATCCTTACCTTTATTACTGCTGTTGGCTTGCACACTGGACGTTGTAAAGGAGGGAGAGACGGGCTTACACTGGGCTGCTGTGGGGAGGAGGTTTGAGAGGCAGAACCTGGAGAAGGTGAATGAGATACTGGGTCAGGTGAGTCTGGAGAGGCGTATGAGGTAGAGGGTACAGGATCTGTTGCAGGCCTCTCTACCTTCTTAAAATAATGTTCAAGGCTAGTCTGGAAGGATGCCTTCTTCTTGTCCTCCCAAATCTCCTTGTAACACTGCAGGCTATCCATGACCCCTCTGGCAACCTTAGTGTACCTGTCAATGTTGGGGTCCTGAGCCTCAAACCTTGCCAAGGCATCCTCTATCATGGCAAAGGCCCCTGCCAGTTCCTTGCTTGTAAATCTCTTGGGCTCTGGGGTTGGTGTGTCTTCCTCTTCAATTAACTGCTGTTTCAGTTGAATGAGGTCCTCGATACATAGCTCCTCTCCATGAGATGCCAGCAGCTCTGTGACATCCTCAGCCTCCACCTCCAAATCAAGCTGCTTACTCAACTCAACAACATTCTGGATGACAACCTCAACTGAATCCTCAAAGCCATGGAAATCATTCACAAACTGGGGACACAATTTTTTCCAAACACCATTCAGGTTTGTCTGCTTAACTTCATCCCAAGAATCAGAAATGTTCTTTACAGCAGCAAGAACATTGTAAGATTTCCAAAAGTCATTGAGAGTCAACTCTTTATCCTCAGTTGCCCTAAAAGCCATAGCAAATGTCCTTCGGAGGTAGTGGGCCTTGAAAGAAGCAATGACACCTTGGTCCATAGGCTGTAAAAGGGAGGTGGTGTTAGGTGGAAGGTAAACAACCTTGACATTTGGATGAAAGTCATTCAGATCGGCAGGGTGACCAGGGGCACTGCCCAGCACTAGCAACACCTTAAAGGGCAGCCCCTTGGAAGCACAGTAGTCCTTCACTTCTGGCACAAAATGGTTGGTGAACCAGTCCTCAAATACGCCAAGTGTCACCCAGGCCTTCTTGTTAGATTTCCAGATGACAGGTAGTTGACCCTTCCATATGCCCTTGGGTGCCCTTGGATTCTCGGCCAGACACACCAAGGGCTTCAGCTTGAAGTCACCAGCAGCATTAGCCCCAAGTAGCAAAGTCTATCTCTCCTTGCTGGCTTGATGGCCTGATGCTGTCTTCTCCTCCTTGGCAATGTGGGTACGTGTAGGCATAGGCTTCCAGAACAAGACTGTCTCGTCCACATTAAACACTTGTTTATCACAGTAACCCCCTCCCTAATTATCTCATCCAACGCACTAGGAAAATCACCTGATGCTTTCCCATCACCACTAGCAGCTTCCCCTGGCACCTTAAGATTATGCAAATTAGCACGAGCCTTAAAACGCATAAACCAACCTTTACTAGCCACAAACTCTTCCCTTTCACTCCCTTCCCCCTTTTCTTTTTTCAAGGCCTCAAACAATCTTTTAGCCTGCTCCTGAATCAACATCAGGCTAACTGGGATACGCCGTTGATGCTGGTCATCCAGCCAAAGCACTAATAATCTTTCCATCTCAATCATGAGATTGCTGCGCTGCTCTGTAATCACAGTTGATTTCATAGGATCAGATCCTTTCACATGGTCAAGTGCACGCTTTTTATCGTGGATGATCGCCGAGACAGTCATAGGACTGAGGCCAAGCAACTGGACGATGTTTCTTGGTGTTTCGCCCTTTTCTGAGCATCTTATTACATCTACTTTCACTTCCATTGAGGTTTTCCTTCTTTTCGTAGCACTGCCATAAGAAGAATCTGCCTTTCGCTTAGGAGCCATAAGGAAGGGCAAAAAGTGTTCAAAATAACAACACAAAGAGAGCAAATGAAGCACAATCTAAATGGCTTATAAATGGAGACTGAAGGACAGCGTCTTCCTCCTATAGCGCCGCGTGAGGACTTATTCATCTGCTCAACTGGCCACCTAATACCCAAGCGAAATTCCAGCAAAAGCCTTACATCGAAATGACGGCACTTTTTTTATATCAATAAATTCCAGATGGCCACGTAACCATGTAACAACATATGTCCAGTCCAAAGTAACCCAAGGACTGTCTGTATAGAGAGAAAGAGAGAGATCTATTTTTTTGTTCCATTAATTTTATACATTCTTTGAGTAACTCTTGTAACTGATGTGACCAGCGTTGGAACTTGCAACCTTCCATTATTGAAATTATTTGCTGACCCACTTAACTGTTTGGCCTCGATCGGACATATGTGACATTTTAAGTAAAATTACCCAATAATGTACCTGAGAATAGGTAGATACAGAAACCATCTTGATGACAGATAGTGGTGGAAGGCTAGATTAGGATTCATGGGATTTCATAAGTGTCTATTTTACAAGAAAATAAAGTAAGCTATTTCAATGTCAGACTGAATTATTGCATCAATTAGAATGAAGAACAAATAAGGGCAGGAGGAACTTGGTATCAGCAATGCAGTCATGCAGGGAAACACCAAAATTGTATTTTTTTATGTCCTTTTTAAATCAATTCTACTGAAATCAATCTTTAAAATAGGTTTAGAGAGAAACCAAGATGGCGGCAGTTTGCTGCCTCGAACAACCACTTCAAAAATACAACTAAAAGACGGAAGGGACATCATCCAGAACCACAGGAAGGCTGGCTGAGTGGAAGTTCTACAACTAGGAGGAATGAGAAAAGCATACCGGCGCAGTGCTGAAGTAAAAGTAAAATACTAAGGTGCGGAGTGCATGCGGAGCGGGCTGGCGGCTGAGGGCGCGGTTGTCTGTTTCAATCGGGAGGGAGTCTCAGACTCTGAGCTCCAGATCCCGCGAGTCTCTAGGGACTCAGACTCAAATGGGAGAAGCAGGACTGTCTGGCTTCGGTCCGAACTCGAAGGCAGCTTTCTCTCCGAGGTTTGCAGCGGTTGCTGGGACTCTGAGAGGCAGAGCCGGTGGGGACGGCACTGAGAGCAGCCATAACTGCTCGCTCCACCCGCCCTGTAGATCCCCTGGGTCCCGCCCCGCCCAAGCCCTGCACAGAGGCATTTGCCCAATAGCCTCAGGCAAAGGCTAGATTAGCACCTCCCTAGAGGACAGAAGTTCTCCCACTGCAGACACAGCTTATTCTCACAGCCAGTTGGCCTGGACGTCAAATTCCCCCCACCCCCCAGTATTACCTACAACAATCAAGGCTTAACTACAACAAGACTGCACACAAAGACCACTAGGGGGTGTACCAAGAAAGCATAAAAATGGTGAGAGAAAGAAACAGGACACAAATGTCAGAATTGGAGGATATAGAACTGAAAACTACACTTAAAAGGTCTTTCAATAATTTTCTAGAAACTGCCGATAAACTT